ATAAAATAATAAATTTTTTAATATTTAAAATTTATATTTATATTAATAATAATAATTTGGAAGGATCATACTTTGGCTACTTAATTTTACTATAATTGTAATGAAGCCTGTAATTCTTAAAATATTGACATTTATTTTTGAAATATTTTAGAGCTTTTTATAAAAACTAATTTATATATATTAAATTATAACAAGTTTAAAAATTTATTTTATACCATTTAAGAAATTATAATCTTATTTTGGATTCATCGTCCATAGCTCATTTACTTTATTAAGAAATAATATAAATCAATTATTTAAAATTCGCACTTATTAATTTTCCGATTAATATGTAATTATTTGATAAATATTGAAAAATAGAAATATTATTTTAAACCTCTAAAATACTTATAATTCTATCAGAATTAATAATAAAATAATTGAATTACATGTCAATACCAAGTCAAATATTTTAAAAGTAGAAATAAAATTAATCAAAAAGTGAGATAATTTGGTAATATAAAAGTAATGAAGATAATCTATCTTTTATTCATTAAAATATCAAAAGATCAATAATAATAAAACAAAAGCCTATTGATGAATAAATAATTCATCTATAAACAGAAATCAGAAAATTAGATGAGGAATAGGACGAAATCACAAAAGAGCAAAAATTTTATACAAAGAGTCAATTGAAAATTGAATTAATTTCACTCTTAAAATAAAGTTAATAAGGGAAATCTATAATAATGCCCGAGATTAATTAAAGAATAGAAAAAGATAACCCAGAGCTAATGTTTTATGTATTAAAAGAATGTTTAGCAAGAGATTAAAATAGAGAACTATTATTGACAGAGTAACAATTTTCATGTGGGTTTGACTCTTTAATCGGAGTTTATGGTGATGATTAAGAATGCTTTAAATTCAGAACATAAGAGGTTTAGTATGATTAATTAATTGAAAATGATATGTTTAGAGATCAATATCTAACATAATTTAGGGAAAATGTTTCTAAAATTTTGAATATTTGTACATCTGAAGTAGAAATTTTAGACATAAAAAAGGGAAGTAGCATAATACTATTTAAGATTAAGAGTATAAAAGATTTACATAATATCTCCAAAAGCTTGTAATTTTTAGAAGAAAATTTAAATGGTGATATAGAAATATTTAATTATTTTGTGAAAGTTTAAGAAATGGAAAAGCAAGGATTAGGGCTTTCTCGTAATGATTTTGATAGTAGATTTAATATGGTTTGGGATCATTTACTCGAATCTGAAAAAAGAGGTCCTCAAGATCACAGATATGATTATTATTTTCCTAAAGGATGTTATGGATACGGTTTAAATATAATCAAATATGGTGAGGATTAAGAATGGATTAAAATGAATGGTAACAAAAATGAATGGAGAATTATGTTTCATGGAACAAAAAATTGGTGTGTAAACCAAATTATAAAAACTAATCTGAAGGTAGGAGAAAATAGTTTTTATTAATATCAATAATGTATTGATGAATTTGGAAAAACTGTGCAAGTAGGGAATGGAATATATTTCTCAGATTAATTTAATGTGTGTTTTGAAGATGGGTATGCAAGTCCAGTATAAGTATAAAATAAAAAATTTGCTGCTATATTTATGTCTAGAGTTAATCCAAAAAAAATCCGATAGTCTGAAGACATGAAAAAGAAACGATACTTTTTAATAAATAATTCTGAAGATGTTAGACCATACAGATTATTAATTTATGAAGTTAAATGAAATGTAACTGTGTATCAATGATTAAAAATTGATAAATTTTTTTTATTATTGTTTTTCATTTTAATAGAATAACCACTTAACATTAATTTAATTTACTTCATTATCACAAAAATTTACATAATTAATTTTTACCTTTTAACAATTTGTAATCATTTAAACTTTAAATTTTTATTCTTTTTATTGTTATTTTAATTATAACAACAATAATAATACAGTAAAAATGAAATTTTTAGTTTTTAAACAGACATAGAATTTGATGTTTAAAAAATGGTTGTTAAAATACATCTTATTTATAAATTGAGAACCAAATTTTATATTAAAGATTAAAATTTATTTTTAATAATGGAAAAATTTTATTTAATTTTCTAATTGATGAATAAATATTTTGTAAAATTTTATTAAAAGAACATAATTATTATTATATATATTTATGAGTAATGAAATTCTTCCAATAATATTTCTCGAGAAGTAAACTCATAAACAACTTCTTGGTTCAGCAAAAACACTACTATTCTTTAAATAAGATAATGAGTCAATCACTCAATATATTAAAAATAATAAGAATTTACAGATCAATTAATATTTAAAAACTGAAAACGATTCATATGATAATATGGTCAGTTAATTGCATTAATAAAGACAACTTCGTTTGCCTCCAACGAAAGTGATCAATTAATTAAGAAGATAAAAAATGAATGTAGACAAAATACCAAAACCTAAGGCTAAAAAAATGCCAAGACCTTCGTATCAAATTAATCTTAATACTAAAGATAAAAAATAACTCTAATAATAAATATGTCATTATGTTTAATAAGCAAATAAGTTATAATAATATAAACTATCATAAATTCATTCAAGACGATAAGACTTTAAGCCATATTTTAATTTCGAAGAGTTTTCATATATGGACGAGATTTTTCCTCATTCAAATCTAGTTAAAAAAAAATTTGGACTAAATGAACAAACTATGTTCAGGAATTCAATGGGTTTAGAAAAAGTCATTTTATAAAGAATTATTTAAGGATAATAAGATGATTGATTTAATAACTATTCCATTTCTTGTAATTTCCAAATAAAAAAATATATATTAGTATTGAAAATTATGCCTCTCTTATTTTCTATAATATACTAGATAAAAAAATTAGAAAAAGAAATTTCATTCACAGAATCAATTAATATAACACTTAAAAGTACTTATAATTCTTAGAGATTTGTTATTATAGTTTTTTTACGGAACTTCTTTTTTAGATTTGGTTGATTTTAATACCCTTCATGTATTTGATTTAGAGTTTTTGCTTAAAATTTAAATTAACAATATTCAGTTTTTAGGAAAGTTATCTTTAAAATTTTTTAAGTTTATTTCTGTGGTAGGACTTATAATATTTATGATAGTAAATTGATAGTGAAATATAATCGATGATGTAGATTGATAATTTAAGTTCAATAAAATTTAATTCATTTATAATACTTATTTATTATATCTAAACAATCCAATTTGGAAATTTACTTAAACAAAAATTCTTTTGAAACATTTTTTTTAATTTTAGATAAATCATTCTAAAGTTCATAGAATAGATTTCTTTATTAAAAACTACTTTTGCTTGCTTCTCTAAGAATTTATTTTTTTTCTCTTATTTAAGATTAGAGAATGCTGCTTGATCTTTATTTTTCGAATACTTTATTGACTCTTTCTTATTATTAAAGATTAATCTTTTCTAAATTGACTAAACTTCGAGACTTAGTTTTCTTATTTAACTGAGGAGATATTTGTTTACTCTTTTTTTCAGTATTAGATTCCTCAATTTTTGTATGATTATTTTATTTTTCTATATTAATATTTTATTTGAAATTTTTTCTTTTTTTTAATTTAGATTATCTTTAAGAATCTTTTGAATTACTAATAAATCTTATTTATTTTTAGATATATTTTTCTAAAACTTTTTGGGTTTCTTCAATTTTGTGATGAGAATGAATTATTTAAGGAATAGTTGTCTTATTATTATCATAATAATTAAGTCTATTTACTTAAGATTTATTTAATTTAGATTATATCTTTGTATATAAATCACTACATTATTAAATTTCTTGTTATTTGATTAATTTAATTTTATCATTGACTTATTTTTATTTGAGTAATTCTTTGAGCTCTTTTTCTTTTTATTTAATTTTATTTAGAACCCCTCTTTCTGAATCATCTTATCTAAAAATAAAAGAATTTTTACTCAAATTAATCTTTTTAAAGAATTTCTTTCTATCTTTGAAATGCTTTTTGTTCTTCTAATTAAATTATTTATTAATGTTTTTTTGCAATTTATTAAGTTTTAAGATTAAAAGAATGTGCTCTATCACTTATAGATTTAAGATTTAGTTTTTTAAGTTTTTTGATTCTTAAATTTTCTAATTCTTATATCTTATTTTCATTTAATATTTTTAATTCTTCTTCAATTTATTCCCTTATTTAATTCTTAATAATTAATTGAGTTTTATCTTTTTTAATTTACTATAATTCAATTCTTTTATCTAATAATGATATTGGATTTTCTATATTATAATTAATAAAACTCTCAGTTTATGAATAATATCTAGTATTCATTAATTAATCATTTTTTAATATTTCAATTTCTTCTTTTTTGATTTTATTTCTTTCTTTAACTAGTAATTTTCTTCTATGTGCAATTTGATGTAAATGAAGATAATATCTTTATTCAGCTAAATCATTATCTTCTCCAGAGAGTAGAAAATTAGAGAATTTCTTTTAAATTAGATCTTACTCTTTAAAGTTGAGATTTTACATTGCAATTTAGATTTTAGGAGTATTAAAATTGAAATCAACCTATAATAAAAATTAAATGTCAAAAGTGAGTTTAAGTTCAAACTATTCAACTTTTGATTGACTCAAAGTTAATGGATCATCATCATATAAAGATAGCAACATTTTATTTATAAATAAAATAATTATAGTAGCATTAAGAAAATGAAGATGTTTTAATATTTGAAAATATCAACTTTAATGAGTTAGATATTGAGCTTAATGAAAAGTTTTTAGTTATTGAATAATAGTTATAGATTTATAAATTTTTGAAAGTCCATTAATATTATAAATAATGGGAAGTTGCGTAGGATAAAATAATATTTAAAGGGAATAATCAAATTAAGTAAATTAGTAGATTCCTGAGAATATTCTTTCTTCAGAAAAGCATGAAAGAATTGTTTAAATTGTTAACACTCATCGATAATGCAAAGTATAGAGAAAACTTATAAAACTAAACAGAGAAGTAGAAAATGGATTTGAATAATAATTTATACCTAAAAAAATAAATAAAAAATAATAATGAGTTAATAATCTTCTAATCAATATGCATATAATCAAGAATTATATGAGTAACATATAATGTAATTGGATAATATAAAAAATGAAATAGAAGCATAGGATCCATTTATTATTACTTAGCCAATAGAATTGCAAATACTAGAATCAGAATATTTAGAAAATTAAGGCTTTCTATAAAAGATTCAAGTAAATTATTAAGATGAATTTCTAGAAAATCCGTTAATCTTATCCATTTTTTAGAAGAGTTAGAAGGGATGGGAGTTGCTTCTATAGAGCAGTTCTTTTTAGAATTTTCGAATAAATTATTCAATTTAAAGATTAATAACTATTAAATAAGTTCAGCAATATTATTACTAATTCAAAGACAGATTTAAAAGCTGTAGGATATGAATCAATTGTTATTGATGATTTTTATGATGTATGCTTATTAACTATATGTAGGAAATTATGAAATAAATTAAATTATGTCCTAATAACATTACTATTTAAGGAATCGTCGATGCTTTCTGTAATAAAGTCACATCTGATTATCTTATTATGTACATGAGAATGTTGACATCTGGATATATCAAAGCAAATGCATTTTTATTTGAAGGATATATAGAAACTGGAACAGTTGAATTATTTTGTTAATAAGAAGTTGATCCTATTGATAGAGAAGCAGATCAAGTAATAATTAAACTATTTTTAGATGTAAATTATAGCATTATAGAATTATTTATAAATTCCTATTAGAATTTTCTATTTAGATGGCAATGTGGCTACATATGATGCTACTATTTTCTAAATCCCAGAAGATGCAGATTAAAATTCTGTTTTCATTAATTTATTATACAGACCAGGACATTATGACATCCTTTATTCAAAATGAGGAATTTAAGTATCAAATATCATAAGTTTAAAATTATCTTATCGTTATCTTTAAAAAATAATTATTTTTTAATTAGATCTTAATTAATAATCTAGATTGTTTTAATATCTTCTAAAGTAATTATTTACATATATTCATTAAACAAGAATCTCTATGATTTTATACCTATTTTATGATTAAATATAATAATTTAAATGGCTAAGGATATTGAGGAATATTTTATTAGAAGACTTTAATCTTACCTTTTAGAATATTTGTAAGATTTCTCTTAAAACAACATGGCTAAAGTATTCAAGTTCCTTATTTTAAGTTTTCTTTAGGGATGTCGTCTAACATTGTGTTGAAAAATTTATGCATTAAAAAATAAGCATTACTCAATTTCAAATTTCCTTTGTATATAATTGATGGCAAAATCAATTAGATCACTCTCAATGTAAGTTTCATGAATTTTATTGTTTAAAGATGCCTTTAAATTACAAAAAACAACAACCTGAAATGATCATAGATGGAATTGACCTCCTTGTTTGTACTATTTAAGAAGCTAATTAAATATCATAGATCAAGGATCGTTAGACTCAAGGAATTGAAAATTTAAAGAAACATAAACTTAAGTTGTGGGAAGAATAAATGGCAAAATATTTCGAAAAACTATCTCCACCCAATTGGATATAAAAAATTGTTGATGGAATATACAATAATTTAACGATAACAATTAAGTAGTTTAATCTAAGATTTAAAAATCATTCAATTTTTGGTTATGAAACAATCTTGCGAATAAAATTTGATGCTTAAATAAAGGCAACAGACAAAGACTTTAAATAATTATTCAACAGTGATATTAATAGCACTTATAAATTGATTGAAATAAAAAAGCTTAGTATTTCATATAAAAATGACCCTTTCACAATATTGGAAAAAAAAGATGATTAAATGATCCTTACTCCAATAGATATAGATATAAAATATGTTATAAACAGGAATTAAGAATAGTTAAGTCAACCAATCTAAATAATATAAATACTTACAAAATCTCCAATAATAATTTAATTGAATAAAGAATAAAAAGATTATTTGATTAAATTAAATGAAACTCTATCATGTTAAGAAGTGATTTAAGATAATTTTCATCTTAGACCAACAAAAGATATAAAAAACGCATAATCAGAATGGTGGAAATATTTGATAAAATCTATAATGCTTAATTAAAAGAGTAAAAAATTAGACTTAGGTTATTCTTCAAAAAAACTTGTTTTAATGAAACGATATATTGAATTATATAAAAGAAAGTAAACAATAATTTTAGTTCCATGGTTATCATCTTGGACTATAAAAGATGAATCTAAAATAGCAAAATGTGAAGAAGATCTATCTTTAAAAGATTTATTAAAATATCGAGAATGGGCATTTTAAGAAATAAGAATAGAAGCTAAAAGATATTATAATTCATCTAAAGATGGATAAAATAAATAAAGTGTAAAACCATTATTAGAAATTTGGACAAATACAATTAATAATCAAAATGCTTTTAAAGATCATAATAAAAGGAATGATGATATACCTATAGAATTGGAATTAGATGAAAAAATAAGTTTGTATGAAATTTTAGAAAGAGATAAAACAAATGTTTTATAAAGTTATTTAAAGGGAGAAAATAATCATCCTGATTAGATTAAAATATCATTTACTTTAGAAGTTCATTCTATTTTTATATTGTTATTTGAATATAGAACAGCTAATTATGTTAAATACACACCTGAAAATACAAAAATATTTTAATTTTGTTAATGTAAATATCATATTCGTTTGTTAAAAAAGGCAGCTTATTCTAGAAAAAAATCAAGATAATCATCTCATATAAATAGCTTTAATTAAGTTTATTAAGAGACCTAAAAATAAAATGAAGATAAATCATTTCACACAGCAAAAGTAGTTGATAGTTTTTATGAAGATATTGAAGATTTAAATGGAGTTGGATCTATTGTATCATAATCATCTAATTATTTAGAAAAAAGTAATATATCCGAATTTAAACAAATCAATGATCAACTCTCTCATTAAAAATTTATTTTAATGATCGATTTTATAGGAATAAGAGTTCCATTATTTATTTATTAAAATGGAGCTATTTAAACACCATCTATGAAGAAATCAAAAGATCATCTATATAGAATTTATATAGGTGATATTAGGATTATAGCTCCAGGTATGTTATTAAAAGTTATGGAAGAATAAGATTCTACAAATATATAATCACCTTTATTTTCTGGTAATAATTAATAAGTATCATCCTTAAAACATTTAACATCGTTATAAATTTAATAACCATAATAATCATAATAATAATAATAATAATAATAATAATAATAATAATAATAATAATAATAATAATAATAATAATAATAATAATAATAATAATAATAATAATAATAATAATAATAATAATAATAATAATAATAATAATAATAATAATAATAATAATAATAATAATAATAATAATAATAATAATAATAATAATAATAATAATAATAATAATAATAATAATAATAATAATAATAATAATAATAATAATAATAATAATAATAATAATAATAATAATAATAATAATAATAATAATAATAATAATAATAATAATAATAATAATAATAATAATAATAATAATAATAATAATAATAATAATAATAATAATAATAATAATAATAATAATAATAATAATAATAATAATAATAATAATAATAATAATAATAATAATAATAATAATAATAATAATAATAATAATAATAATAATAATAATAATAATAATAATAATAATAATAATAATAATAATAATAATAATAATAATAATAATAATAATAATAATAATAATAATAATAATAATAATAATAATAATAATAATAATAATAATAATAATAATAATAATAATAATAATAATAATAATAATAATAATAATAATAATAATAATAATAATAATAATAATAATAATAATAATAATAATAATAATAATAATAATAATAATAATAATAATCATAATAATAATCATAATAATAATAATAATAATAATCATAATAATAATAATAATTTAATCAAAAAAAAAAATCATATGTAAAATACTCAGATTTCTTTAATGAAATTTTTGAAATATCAATTACAAATGATTCTTAATAATTTCTTAATAGTGAACTCTGTTATTAATTGTTGGGAGAATTTTTAAAATAAAATTAAATGGGAAATGTAAAATCATTTTTAGATGATTATGAAAAAGATAAGAATAATTTCTAAGATTTTACTTTAGAATAATATAAATCATATGATAAATATTTTGATGATAGATAAGAGCAAGAAGATAATTGTTTTATACATATATCATAATAATAATATACAGAAAAAAAATGGGATTTTCTTAGAAATGCTGCAATATCATCTTTAGAAAAAGAGAAACATAATCATTGGGTATAATGTGATAATAATGATAAAAGTTTATTTATATAAGATGCTCATAGTAAATTAGTAGACATTATAAAAAGAGTTTTATTTATTCCATTTATAGAAGAATATGGTGAAATATTACTACCAATATGTATTTACAATTTAAAAGACAAATTAAATTTTCCATTGATTTCAGAATTGAAAGAAAAAGAAATTTGTACATTAACAGTTTGTCTATCCTTATTAGGTGAATAATCTGAATATAGGATTATATCAAATAATGATTAAAAGAAAGGAATTTAAAAAGATGGTAATATACCTATATAGTAAACAAAATTCAGTCAAATAATAATATAATTGAAGCCTTTTTAGACTTTAATATCTACTAAAACTGTTTCTTAACTTTTACATTTTATATAATATAACAAATAATAAATATTTAAGTCTCCATCATATAAATAATGCAAAGCAGATCAAAAATTATTAGAATGTATTGTCAAAAGCAAACCTTTAAATAAAGAAATTTACACTCAACCTTAATGGAAATTTGATTTATAAATGGATGGTAAATTAAAGGTAAAAATAGTTTCTGATTCTATATCTGGAAAGATTAAAACAGAATTAAAGATTCAATTTTAAAATATTCTTGTTTAAACAGTAAATTTAGATGATAAAGATTATTAAAATTGTTTAACAGAATTTTCATAAGCTGAAAAAACTGCTTTTAATCTTTAATAAAATTATTATTTCATAAAGAAATTAATAATTGAAAAAATATTAATTGCTCATAAATATTTTTCAATAGATTATAAATATTATAATGAAGAAATAAAAAGCTATGAAAAATAAATGCAATCATTTAAAAATGGTAAAGAATAATTAAATTCTCCTTCTTTTAATTAATAACATAAATATTAATAACGATAAACTTAATCCTAACATCAAATTAAACATTCATCAACATTAAATTAAGATTAAAGATTTAATTAGCCTAATCTAAATAATATAAAATCTTAAAATAAAATTACTGGAATAAAATCATAAATATTAAAAACTTAGATAATTTTATTTTAATTAGATTCTATTATATAGAATCATCCTTTGTTGACTGATAAGAAACTCTATATTTAATTTCCATGGTTAGATTTATAAATAAATGATTCTTAAGTTTGTTTTATAGAATTGTTAATGATTTTAAATAAAAATTATGATAAAAAAAATAAAAGAAAATTTTAAGAAAATAGATATTCAATGAGCAAAGATAGTTTAATAAAAGCAGAATTATAATTATTATTAAATGAACATAAAAAATAAAAAAAGGACTGTAAACATTGTATAATAAAATATAGAAAGAGCCTTTATTTAAGCAATATTATATTTGGTTAAATGCCAAATATTCAAAATGATATTAATTTATTTACATTATTAGAATTTGAAAATAATTTAATAATCAAAAGAAAAAATGAAAGAAAAATGAAAGATTAATTTAATTTAAAATCAATATCCTAATAATCGATAAAAGAAAAGAACAAACTTGATGGAATAAAAATTTAATTTGCTAGTACACCTAAGTCTACAAAAAGTACTTGTTATATTACATTAATTGAAATGCCATTATTTATAATAACTCGTGATAAAGGATACTTTAAAAATACTCTTACAATTCATTGTTAAAGAACACCATAAAATAGTGATGATTCACATTAAAATAGCATATATAAATTAGATAAAGTTCCTGTTTAACATTCTTAATTAGAAAGAAATATATCTCTTAAAGAAATAGGAACAAAATAATAATAATAAAAAAAATAATAAAAATAATAATTATTTGAACATATTTCTTAAGATGAAATCAATGAAAAAAATCCTGATATTAATTATTTTATATTCCAGCCCTCATTATTAGTTTAAGAATCTGATCGATTAGCTGATAAACTTGATGATAAATTTGTTTTTTATTGTAGAAATAAAGAAAAAGAAATGTTTAATTAAGATTTTATTCAATATGATGAAAAAGAAAAAGATTAAATGTAATAGTCTGTCTATATAACTTCTAACATATATAATAAAGCTCCTATTTATTTACTTTATTATTTTAATCAACCTTTAAGATCTCAAATGCTATCTTGTGTAATTGATGATTATTAAAAAGAAAAAAACTCTAAAACCAAAATATTCTTTGGAATTGATAATATCAAAGCTATATTTAGTAATTAATTTGCTACTTATAATCTTATTACAATTATTAAAAATATTTTAACAATTAAAAATGTTTAAGAAAATGCTTATAACTTAATTAATAAAGATCTTATCAGATAAGAAAGAGAAAAATTAAAATTAAAATAAAATCCATTAAAACTTCTTGATGATTTAATTGTATGTGCTCTTATTTAAAATATTTACTTAAAATCTAATGAAACTCTATTTAAATTAAGATAATTAAGAGCATTTATTTAAATTAATTTGATGGGTAGAATTAGAGGAAATTCTCTTTAAAAGAGAACCATTTAAAGTGTTTATCCAAATATAAATTCAAGTTAATAATAAAAAAATAGATAATCTGTTAATTCTTTTGAAGAAGATCAAATAATTAAATGTGATTTTATTAAATTCAATTTTAACTAAGTATCATAAATTGATATCACAATTATCAATGTTACAAAATAAAAGGAAGAACTTCGTTTATCAGTTAATGATATTCAAATTAGTATTATGGGAAGATAAAAAGAAAATCTATTAGTTATGCCTGGAAAAGAAACAGGAACTTAAAGAGCTTCCTATGCTTTACATATAACTTTATCATTTTAAAATTCATATCCTTTAATTAAATTATAAATTGAATAAGCTAAAATAATACTATCTTAATAAAAAATTTAAGATTTATTAATAGCTATCAATAGTTTTTATTTAATCAATATTGAAGAATCTATTTCTTTAAAATAACATTTATTAAAGTTTATTTTTTAACAAGAACTATTTATTAATGAATAAATTGAAAAATCTCTTGGTGTAAATTTGTTTGTAAAAAATGCTAATAATTAAAAAAAATCTAATAAATATGCTATTGAATTATATGTGGAATCCTTAATTATTAAATTATAAGATTTAGAATAAGATTTTTTTTTATTTTAATTTCATCAAATTTAAATGAAGAAAAAAAGCTAAGCTAATTTAGAATTATCATTATCATAAATTGAAATGAAACCTCAAAATATAAATAATGAATAATTCTTATATTAAAATTTAATAGAACCTATTGATAATTAATAACTTTTTATTTTTAAATTAGAAAATAAGGTAATATCAATAAAAAATGTTAAATTCTATTTGATTTCAAGATATTTAAAGGAATTAGAGGCATTTCAATAAAGAATAGAAGAAATTCTATAAAGAAACTTAAATGAATTGAAAGAGAGATATTAAAAAGATTTTGATTTATAATTACAAATTAAATAAGAAGAAGATTTTCTAAAAGAAAAAGATAGTTTTAATTACAAAATCTCTATTTAAAATTCACAATTTGTAATACCTGAATCTTCTTTAGGTTCATCTTATATTATTATTACGTTTGAATAAGGAAATTTAAATTTAAAAAAGTAAAAAATAAATTTAAAGATGCCTGATATTTAGGATGAATACTTAATAGAATCTAATAATTAAAATTTACTGATTGATTATAAAGAAAAAAATTAAGGAGATGGTGAATTTTGTGTAATTAATATAAATGGAAACTTTGATAATGTATAAATGAATTATTAATTTTCTGAAGGTTTAAGAAATGGGTTATTATTATTTGTAGGTAAAATAATTATTAATTTATAGATAAAGTATAGCCGATTATTGATTTGCCTAGTTTTGATTAAAAATGTGGTTTAAGTCCATGGAAATTTGAAGATTCTTGTAAGTTAATAGTTTATAATTTAAAAATGTCTCTTGATTTTGGAAAATTATTGAAGTTAAAAAGTCTATTAAATAAAAATTTAGATGAGACATCTCCTTTGTTTGAATTTAGTCGATCTTTATTTTAGAAAATCAATTTTGAAGTATATAATATATTAATATTAGATAAAATTAGATGAAAGCTCTATTTCATTTACAAGATTTAATTAAGGAGAACCAGAAAAACTTATTTAAATAAAGGAACAAGCAAAAGTATATAAATAGAAATCAAGATTAAGTAAAAATTTTTCAACTCAATAATCATCAAAACGTGAGTCTATGTCTTGATTATGTTGATTATATTGTTTTTTTTAATATGAAAATTTACATATTATTTTAATATTTATTTAAATAAATGTACATTTACAACTATTTTCTGAATATAATTAAAAGATTAAAAATTAAGATGTAAGAAAAAAAATCATAAACTCATAGACAAACTTTGAAAGCTTAAGAAAAAAATTAAAAATCAATCATTTTATGGAGTAATTAGGATATATAAAATAATTTGAAGTATCTTCCTACCCTTTATAATGTAGAAATTTAAAAAACTTACCCAAAATTTCAGTCAAAATAAAAATCAATTAATGCAAAAATAAATGTACAAACAGAAACTTAAAAAAAATAATATTAACTAAGCGAATTAATTAAATTGCATTCTCAAATATACTCTATAAATAATGATGATGAAAATTTCTACAAAACTTATTAACCTTTTTTTGAGTATTTTTAGTTACTAAATAATTAAATTGATACTTTGATAGACATAAATATTGAGTATAATTAATTAAAAGTATAGAATGGATAATTAAGTTTTCCTTAGATTGAAATAGAATTCAAGAATATCTCAAAAATAACATTGTTATCTCAAAAAATGAAGGATTACATTAACTCATAAAAATAGGTTTTAGAAAATCTTAATTAAGATATAAATTATCTTTAATAGTAAAAAAATGAAATAAACTAAGCATTAAATCCTTTAAATGAAGAAATTTTGATACTTGAAAAATAGTTATACAATATTTAAAATTAAAACGGTTTTTTAATGTAATAATCAAATAAGAAATTTTTTTAATTAAGCATTCTTTAAGAATAATTTAATTGTTTTAAAAGAAGTTCAAAATAGTTATGTATCCTTGTCTAAAAACCGAAAGTTTATGATCAAAATTATGAACCTTATTATATTATCAGAAACTAAAAATTCATAGAAATAAATTTAAAATCTGATAAGTAGATTGTTATGCCTGAGAATAAGAAATCATAAGGTTTTGTATAAAAAAATGGTAATAGATTTGATGAAATTATTCATCGTAAATAATTTGTAAATGAAGATTTAGTTTAAGAATTATTGAGACATACATATTTATTTTTTATTTAAGTCTTATGTAAATCTATAAATAGTTTATATAAATCCTATCCTTTTAATAGTAATGAAATTTCAGCTATATTTTAAACTCAAAGGATGTCTGATGATTATTATATGAAAATAAATTAAATATTGAATTAAGAGAAGAAATGTGTAGAAGATTAAGATGTAAAAATTTAATTAATCTTATAGTCTATAGTAATGTTTATAGTTCGTAAATCAAGTGATTTTTTTTTGTAATTTGTTGTAAAAGTGATTAAGTGCATACAATCTTTTGAAAATCAATTTTGTGGTTTGTAAGATTTAAATTTATATTACAATATTTTAAATATTAAAGAAGATTCAATTAAATTAATTTTGTAAAGTCATTTAAAGGATTATGAAAATAAATTAAATGAAATAAAAGTTAATATATATTTTATATTTTAGTTAAATGCATCAGATTCTGAAATAATTTAAATAAAATTGGAATTAAAATTGAAACATAAAATATCAAGAAATATTCATTTTTTATATATAATTCAAGAGAAAATAGAAAACTAAGAAGATTTTTGTAAATAATTTAAAGATTGTTACAATAAGAAGAAGGGTATTAAAGATTAAATTGGTTCTGTTTTAGAATCTATAATAAAAGTAGATATATTGATAAATAATTAAAGAATACCGATAAATTCTTAATAATTACTGAGATGCCAGAGATGATTAAGATGACATGTAATTAATAAAAAAAATTGAATTAATTGAAAAGTTTAGTTGATTTTTCTTAAACAATGGCTTCAAAGAGATATTGATTAATGATGTTTTTGAGATTATAAATTATTTTTGAATATAGTATTGAAATAAAAGTATTGATTAGATTAGAAATATGCATTCAAATATAATTTTTAATGATTTAAATGTAAAATAAAGTTTATAATATAAATATATGTAAGAAATTATAATTATAGGAATAGGATAATGTGGAATAAATTTAGGATTAGAATTCATAAAATAATTAAATTATGATCATTGTTTAAATAATGTTTAAGAAATAAGTGATTATAATAGATACAAAAAGAAAATCAATGTTTTTTATAATGAAAATTCTAAATAGCAATATATTCCTAGATGTTTGTTTCTAGATTTAGAACCAAGTAATACCATTTTATATGGTTAGGTTCTATAGATAAATTATATTAACAGAAAGATGTAATTATTGATCCAAATTGTTGTTTTTCAATGAATTGTGGAAGTAGCAATAATTTTGCAATTGGAAAATATACTGATGGAGCTGAATTAATGGATAAATGTAAACATGTCTTAAATAAATATTTTGAAAGATCAGACAATCTATAAGGAATTATGATGTTTTTTTCAACAGGAGGTGGAAGTGGTTCAGGTATTGCAAGTAATTTAATATATTACTTTCGGGAAAAAGACTTAACTAAAATAGTACATTGTAATCCTGTATTTCCTTAAGGAATTTCACATAATAGTTTAGAAATATATAATACAATATTGATTATGCATTCCATGATTGAAACTGTAGATATAGTTACACTTTATGATAATGTTGCATTATAAAATATGTGTAATAGAAATTTCTTACCTTCAAATTATGAGAATTATAATAAAATCATTGCAGAAAGTTTAATTTAAACAACTGCTTCATATCGATTTCCAGGATTTATAAATGGAGGAATGAAAAAACTTTCATTAAATCTAATACCATTTCCAAGACTACATTTTTTATAATCTAAGTACATGATTGTTAATTAAATGGATTGGAATATGAATGATATTCTAAAAGATCAATATAAATTATGTTCTTCTGAAGACAATTTATCAAATGAATATCTATCTTATCAAATATAAATGAGAGGTAATTGTTTTGGAATGCCTGAATCTCCAACATTATTGATTAAAAAAGAGAATCTTTATTAATTTATCGGTATTGATAATCATTAGAGAGTACATACTAATGTTTAACATAGAGATCATGAAAATATTGTTGGGTTTTTAGGAAATTCAATTGGATTTCATAAATATATTAAAAAATATTTAGATGATTTCTCCCATATGTTTAGAAGAAAAGCGTTTGTTTATATTTATGAATATACTGGAATGGATGAAATGGAATTTATTGAAGCTGAAAGTAATTTATAAGACTTATCATCTGAATATCGTTAATATAGTCAAAGTTATGATGATTATGATGAAGAAGCTGAATTCTGATTTATCTTTTCCAATACATTCAATATTTAATTTCAATAATTATTTTATATCATCAATTTACATACTCTAAATTAAATACTCTAAGACTTTCTTTTTAATTTTATTAAAAATATATTTTCTAATTAATGAGATTTGTCACACATCTATTTTCATAACTTTTAGATAAAATATAATTATTTTACAATTTATTGAATAATAATTTAATGCTATTAAATATTAAATAACTTTTAGGATCTTTTTTCAACTTTATATGTATCAATCAACACCACATCTTTTAGATAAGAAAAAAACTTTTATGTAAGTAAAATTAAATGTTTAATCCAAAAATGGCAAGATTAATAAACTTCTATAATTCTATTGTACAAAACTAAAGTAAATATAGTAGATAAAATAAGAATTTTTCATTTAAATTAACTTTAATGAATATGTAGGATTGACAAAATTTAGAATAAACATAAAAAAATATAAAGTGGATCATTGTTGTTATATTTTTATTCAGAAAAGTATTCAATAAAAAGGAGCAACATTTGATTTATATTGAAGAATTAGGACAAAAATTAAAAATAAATGATTTGTTTTTTAAAGTATATAAAAGATCAAAGTGAATAAGGAAGAATGAAGAAAAATGATGAGAAAAAGAAGAAAAGTAAAGGAAAATGCTAATAAATTAAAATAGAATTTGAAAATATCGGGATGGAGTTAATGAATTCTAGAATATTCTTGCAATTTCGACAATATATGAATTGGAAATATAATTATTAATAATAATTGAATATTAAAATGTATACATAAACAGTAGTCACACCATTTGCTCTAATGATTCCAGGATAATTGGCTATAACTTAATTCAGTCAAATAAATAATAGTTTTGTAGTTGATGTTAATAATCCTGCAATAATAACTTCTATAGCATTTTTCTTGATGTAACCCTTAGAAGAAGGAGTAGCTGCTTGTTTATATTATTCTTATCCTCCTTATAATTAATTAGAATTGTTAGGAGCAATAGGTAATGCAAGACCTTCTGATATATTTTCTACTAGTTTTAGCCTTAATCCTAATACTAATAAATAAGCATAAATAAAGATAATTGTGTAACTTTAATAGATTGATTAAAATTTACAGTAGATGATTCTAATGTTACCAGAGAAATAGGGATATTATTTTATGACAATAGCTTAACACTTAGATCGATTTTTGTAAGATTATCCTAAATAAATATATTACAATGAGAAAAATGAATAAATGTTAGTTGTACCAACTATTTCATTAGATAAATGGCTACAAAGATTCACTGAGAAATATAACATAGATCCTAACTTTTTGTTTTGTTGATTAATGTATTAAATATATATATATATGCTTTTAATTAATAAATATATATTGAATCTCTTAGATTGATGAATGTTTAAAAAACATTAAATAAATATTTATTAAAAATGTTGTAAGATTAGATATCTTTGGCTGAGTTTGTGCTTTAAGAGGCAAGAGAGAAATGCTTTGAAATAGAAGTGAAGGCTTTTAAGTAATTTGAGAAAGAGAAAAAGTAAATAGTGGAGAGAGAGAAATCTAACATTTAAGAAGAATTCAATACAAAATTTAAGAAAAAGGCTCAGCAAGAGAGAATCAAACATAGTGCTTTAGTGAATGGAGCTAGAATGAGATTGATGAATGCTAGAAATTAAGCTATGACTAAGATTTTCTCTGATGTACATATATATTTAAATGATAATTTAGTCACAATATCAAATTTATAAAATGATCAGATAAGATGAAAGATTTTATGAGGAATTGCTAAAAAATTTAATGGTTCAAGGATTAATAAAATTATTTGAACATGATGTTGTAGTAAGGTAATTGTATTGTATAATTATAAAGATGTTTACATCGTGATATTAGACATGTAAGAAATGTTATTGATGATGCTATTTCTGAATTCTAAGACATTCTAAGAAAAGAATTAAATGGATTAGAATTTGAAGTCTCAATTGAAGTAGATGAAGAAAAATGTTTGGATGAAAGAGCATTAATTGATAATTCAATTAAAAGTGTTTAAGATTATTCTATATAAGAATCAGCTTCAGAAGTATTAAAAATATACTAATATTCTTAAGGTTATATCTAAAACAGAAAATGATAAAAAGTGTTTTGGTGGAATTTTAATGACAAATAAAGATGGATTAATTGTTTGTAAGAATACCTTAGATGTTCGAACAGATTAAACATTTTAAGATTCATTGCCTATTATCAGAAGCACATTATTTGGAAAATGATGTCATTATATTCAAATAATCTATATTAATATTATTATTTATGCAACAATCTGAATTTGAATCACTATATAATGAAGAAATAGAATTCAGAGATCTTAGATATAAAGAACTTAAAGATGAAAAGACTCAATAAGAATAATAACATTTTAATTTATTTAGAAATATTGAAAATAATCAATTCAAAGCAGGTTAAGAATTAGAAACTCTTTATGAAAAAAAAATATTGATTGAAAATGAAAAATATTTATAATTAGAATAAGTATTAATTGAAGAAAGATAGAAATATAAGTAGAATCTTAAAGAATTAGAATTTGATTGTTCTAAATAAATTAAAGAGATTAAATAGAAATTTCAATCTGATTTTAAATTACCTTATGATACTATTTATTCTAATAAAAATGATATTAAAACATTACAAAATAATAATCAATCCATTATTTCAGATGATGAAATATTAAATGATTATATAGAAAGTACTAAATAAAAATTTAAATAAAAGATTGAAGAATTATAAAAAGAAATCTAAACAAAAGATAAGTAATTGATTATTTATAAATCTGATAAAAATAATTTTTTTAAGGAAATAGATATAGTTAAATAATTATTGGAATCGGAAAAATAAAAGTAAAAAGATTAAGAAAAATATATATAAGAATTATAAAGTTAAAATAAAGAATTAATGGATAAAATTAATTTACATGAATAAGAATTATCTCATTGTAATGAATAGATTAAATAATATTAAAAATATATAGGAGGATTATAAAAATCTAAATTAGTGCTTAGTTATAAAACTTATGAAATGTAAACTGAAATGGAACCAAAAGAAAAAAAATTTAGAGAATTACTTGAAAGTATACCAAAATTAGAAGATGAAATAAATGAATTATCTACTAAATTAAAGAATTATGAAGAAAAAGATAAGAAAATGACTACTTAAATTAAATTAATGAATGAAGAAATTGATAAAATTAAATAGAATTGGAAAAAGTCTCAGGATTTATTCAAAAAAATAACAATGGATATTTATAATTGTTATCATGAAAAGAAAGAAAAAGTAACGATCTCTATTTAAAATAGGAATGGGTGGATTTTATGAAATAAATGTATTAAAAATACATAAGCAAAAATGAAAAGAATGATGATCTAAGAAATCCAGAAAATTTAACAGAATAAGATAAAAAGGCTTAAATATCGATTAAATTATTTATCAAAGATATTACTTCTATGATTCATGAATTTAGAGAATCTGTATATAATATTAATTTAATTAGGATTGGCCTTAACAATTAAAATAACTCTATCAAAAGCATTTTACTGGTGAAATAAATAATGAATTATGCAGATAAAATTAATTCTTAGTCAAATCATCTTAAGAGAATGATAAAAAATTTTAAAAATTACTATTATGGAGAGATTAAGAAATCTATTTAAAAACTTAAGAAAACATGCATCTTTTAACACATTTGAATTAAGTTTTAGAAAGAAAAAAGAGTTTAGAGATTAAATTAGCTAAATAAATATCATAATATGAATCCTTAGTTAAAACACAAAGTAGAGCAAATTCTATGTAATAGTGCGAATAGAGACGCAAAAGTCATTAACATGAAGTATCTTATTAAGTTTATACAAGAAAGAATAGCTCAATTTTTTAAGAAGAAGCCAATCTATAACCATTAAATTAATCAATAGATTTAGTTAATGGCTATATTACAAATAAATTTTAAAAGAAAGGTAAGTTAATTAAAGGTTAAAATTATAACAAATAGAAGTTATGTAGATTTGAATAACATCGTCATTCTGATTTAATTACTTAAAATGAAGGGTTATAAACAAGAAATTAATTATTGGAACAATAAATGAAAATTTTGAAATCTAAATTGATTGAAGTTGGTCTTGATGATGAAATTACATAAACTAATACCTAAAGACCATATAGCTAAAAAGTAAAGAGAACATGAATAGATTGAATACTTTATTAAATAAGAATTAATTATTCTAATTTTTATAATCAATTAATATAACTAGGTTTATATCTAATAGTTTCATCAACTTTTTGTTTATTAATCTTCAAATGAGGATTCATCTTTTATGTGTTAATAACGAATGGATTATTTTCATCATTAGTTTTTTTGGAATAACTAAAAATGATATATATTAGTCTATTACCTCATTCTCATATTAGGAATGTTGTTTGTTAATGGGACTTTTACCAATTTTTCAATTGAAGATGATGTTTTTATTCTCAACTCCTCTTCTTTTAATTATGAAACTGAAAAAGCAACAATCAACAAAGTTACATTATCTGTGCTCTTTCTTTATATACTTTCCTAAAGAACTGATTCAACTGAATTAGATAAAACAGTATGTAAATTATTTCCAACTTGACAATTTAATATATCTTTCCAAATAATATTCATTACATCAATAGAACTTAATTTATCGAAAATTCCATCGCCTTTATATATAAATATTAAAAATTACTTCCTAAAACAATAAAATCATGCTCACTAGTAATTTTAAATTACTTTATTTCAGGTTAAGCAATTACTACTTTTGGATTTCCACCAAACTTTTCTAGTTTAGCTTCTATATCCCCAAAAGTTCTTGAAACTGATAATCTTCCTGGAGTAACTCTAACTGGTCCTAAGATTTACATTCCTTCTTCATTAATTCCATGGGTTTGGTAAACAGATCCACCAGCCTTAACAATTCTCTCTTATTCTAATTCTGGTTTATGATCATGCGATAATGCTATTGCTTTTTTTCCAGATGCTGCACTTAAAATAGCTCTACTATCTCCAACATTTGCTGCATAACAATTATCTCCTATGATTAATATTACAATAGCACATGATCCACTTCTTTCAGGCACTCCTTTATTATAAGATTCTTATGCCATTTAAATAAATGCTTTTTCAGCTGCCTCAAATCCTTTAGTAATGGCACCTATTGGGTTCCATGGAAAATCTGGTTCTTTAACCACAAATTAATGTAAATTATCCCTTAAAAAATCAGCACATGCAGCTCCACCATGTCCATCATATACTCCAAAAAAAGAGCATTTAGGCCATTATTCTGTATTTCTACTTTATGGTTTAATAATATTTAAGATAATTGAGACTCTATCTTCATTGTAATCTCTAACAATTCCTTAATTTGTGTTTGCTGCATAAGCTTTAATTATTCCATTTCTTTAACTTGAACATTTTGTAGGCTCATAATTAGGCAATATGCTTTATCTTAAGAATGAAGGTTCTTAAAGACTCTTATATTATATATCATTTGCTTTTGTTGTATATGTTTGTTTCCTGAGAGGTGAATGATCAAATTATTGATGATATGATAAATTTAAATATTCGAACGGTTTCTTGGTTTATCTATCAAATGATTAGTAGTTCGCTAAAAATGTATTTAAATCTCTCTGTTTAATCATTCTTTTTATTAATATTTATTTAATTTGAATTTAAACATACAACGAATATTTTAATTTTTGTTTATTAATATATTATTTATTTACTGCTTTATCTAACTCTAAATAATTCATACTAGGTATCTCTTATCATATTCTCATTCATTTTGAATAGTTTTATAGATATAATGAATCAATTTTTAAAAATACTTTTTCTGCTTCATTTTTTTTACTATTCTCATTATAAAGATACTACAATTTGTCAAGTAGTTTTCTAAATTCAAATACTCACTTTTAATTATTTTATATTAAATTTTAACTATATCTATCAAGATCATTTATCCCAAATTTATTATTTTATTCTTAATCTGATTTATATCATTATAAAATATTTAATTTAAATGAGAGTCTTATATTAATTTCATCAATTAATAGAAATATTATAATATTATACTATCCAGCCATTTAAATAATATAAATTTTAAATAGAAACTACATAAATATTTTAACTTCTTTTGATATCTTATTGTATTAATAATATGTTTCTATCGTTTTCTTTAATCGAAATAACTTGTTTATCAATTTTATTTTTGATCCTTATTTTGCTTATACAATCTATTTGCTATTTTAAATATTATCAATAAACTATTATCAAGATATTTTTTATTAACTAATTTTTAGCAAAGTAACTCAAATTTATATTAGAATATAATAGTATAAATTATACATATAATAGAACTTATAAAATAGTTTATATAACTGTATCTATTATTTTTGAATATAAATTATAAGAAGAGGATAAGATTTGAAATGAATGATTAATAAAATCTTGTTGATATAAATGAAAGAATTTGTGCTCTAATTCGTTTTTGTTTTCTCAAGATGAATTTAATGATATAAAATTGGATATTTATATATTTGAATTCATAGGACACTATCTTTAAGATCCGTAGCTGATATAAAATTTTGGATTTCAGGTACAATTTGTCTTCTCTTTTGTGTGGATATTTATTGTTTCTAAAGTTATTCTTATTTGTATTATTTAAACTCTTTAGTTTTTTCAATTTATGTAGTGACTTATTACAATAATTATTCATCTTGTAATTCTTCCTATATAACTTACTAATTAAGTAAATTATATAATTGTGAATTAGTCTATCTTTTGGTATGAATGTGGAAGACTGTATTACTTAATAATAATAATAAATAGAATGTTACATGACAAAGAATAATATAAACATGCCCACGCATATAGTTATAATGTATAGATTGGAACCATCTGAAAAAACTTTTAAATGCATTACTTAGCCTAGATGAAATCTTTTAGATGGATCAGGCATTTTCATATCAATAGGTTTAAATTTAATATCTTTGACTTCATGAATAGTTTGAAATGATTTTTTTAAATGATCATATTCTTATCCTTTCATATCTTCAGCTTAATGATAGAATTCTTTATAATCTTATTAATCTGATGATGATTCTTAGAAGTTTTCATCATAGTCTTTATAATTTTTACGGACAGATTCATATTCATTATCTTTTTTAGTAGAACCTTCTGAATTCATTTAAACAGCTTCTCCTTTCATAAGTTTAATTTTTTCAAAGGATTCCTTGATTAGAATGAATTATTTTTAGGCAGACTATATATATTAAATGATCTTAACACAGGTGTTTTATTAATATCTGGATGATATTAGGCTGCCATTTTGTAATATGCTTTCTTTATTTCAGGAAATGAAGTAAATTTATCTACTCCTAATACTTAATATGGATCTATAGCAGATGAGAACTTGTACAGATTCCTTAACTTAATTAAAAACATAATTAAATTTTATATGAAAAATAGCATATCATAAAAAGGAGTTACGAACACATTTTAATAAATAGTTTTAAATGCTAAACATAAAGATGATAATGAACGTAGAAATATGAGCATTTTAGAAAAAGCAGCCAATTTATGGTAAAGAGATAGTTCACATACTAAAACTATTTAATTACAAAGAATTATCTATATTTTAAAATAATATTCATAAAATAGAACAGATGAATAATTAGAAGCAGTTAAAATGTATTTTGAAGAAAACTTTCCTTATTACAGGTATTTTAATTATTAATTTAGATTAGTAAATTCAAAGAAAAATTAGATTAAGAAAGCTGCAAATCATTATTTAGAGAAATGACTTTAGAATGGTATGACAGTACTAAAATCATTTTCAGACATGGTGATCCTGGAAGAAGAATGTATTTTGTATTATAAGGTGAATTACTAATCTTAATCCCTAAAACCAAAAACACTTCAGAAAATCAACCTTAAAAAAAATAGAAATTCAAGTATTAAACTAACTTCTATATTATTAGTTCTTTTGAAGAATGGGTTAAATATGTTTTTGCTGATTATACATAAGTTGCAACTAAAATAGAAGGTGATTAATTTGGTGAAATTGCTATCGAATAAAAAGTAACTAGAACAGCCACCGTTGCTGCAAAAACAGAAGTTATTCTAGCTGTTATTACATATGATCTTTATTAAAGAATACTTGGAGCATTCTAACATGAATTAACTAATTAAAAAATTGCATTCATTTCTAAAATACCTATATTTAGTGTTTGGTAACGATAAAATTAATTGGTTCTCTTATAAAGTCTTGAACTCTAAAATAAAAAAGTTGGATAATATATATTTTAAAAAGGAAATAATGATGAATATATTTATCTTGTTATTAATGGAGAAATTGAAGTCATTCAATGGTCAACTCCTAATAAAGAATAATTACCTAGTCACCATAATTTTGTACCTAAACCTAGTATTATGGCCATTATCAATTCTGGTTAATTTTTTGGAGATTATGAACATTTTAAACAACTTCATCATAGAATCACAACTGCAAAAGCCAAAACAGACTCAACTTATTATAGAATCAAATATAGATAATTATTAGATTATTTTCAGCTTTATTCTTCTATTGATGATTTTCTCAAATATGAAAATCTTAAATTTCAGATCCAAAGCCATCTTGGACAAAAGACTAATGAAAATCCCAATCTTACTGATCGTACTGGAGATTAAACATATTAATTTGATTTAGATTAAATCAAATCTTCATATTACAAAAAAATTAAAGTTGAACAATAAATTGATAAATTGAGAAAAAAAATGGAAAAAACAGTTGAATAAGCATAAAAAGCAATTTATTATTATGAAATCGAAAATCTCAAGTAGAGTATTGAAGATATTGAAACAATTTAAGCTGAAAAATATTCTTTTTTAGTCCCTTTCAGAAGCGATCCTTATGTAAATGAAATGAATCTCATCAGATCAGAAACTAGATATTCGAGAAATAGACTCTAACTTTAATCTGAAAATGATTTTAGAAGTAAGGACTTGTAATTTAGTCTCAGATCCAGTATTAAAACCTAAGGATAAGCAAGATCTTAGAGTTAATCTAATTATAATACTCTTTCATATGCAAAGATCATGTAGAACAAACTAAAAAAGCTTTCAATAAATGTTTAACCTACTATTGAAATAATAAAACCTTAGTTTTCCTCTTCTAAGACTACTAAACCGGATCATCATTAAACAAATGTGGAAAACATTCATAATGTTAGATTAGATTTTACTCCTATATCTAATACATAATTATTCACCAAAAAAAAACATTTAGGAAGTGTATATAAGTTCTAAATTAAATCATCATACTGATTATATATTAATATAATTTAAATAAAAATATAAAATGGATTAATATGCAAACGTAGTTAGTTTTAATGGTCCATTAAAAAATGAAGTGTAGAAATTTGTTTAATCTACTTTGTAAAGAGAATTAGATAAATTAACTTATGATCATAACGAAGCTTAAGTAAAGAGTAATAAAATTTGTGATTCAATATTGAAACAATTAACAACTCATAACAAAAATTTCAAATTCATTGTTAACTGCCTCTTAATGTAAAAGGCTGAATGTGGTCTCAACATATCTGGATCTTGCTATTGGGATAATGATACTGATGGATCACTTACAATCAAGCATGAAACTGAAGCAATCATAGGCATAGTTAATGTATTTGCTTGTGCCCTATGACACATATATATAAAATAATATATATAATATTATAAATGGGCAATTATTCCTCAAAAATTTGAAATGGTTATAAATATAGAATTAGAATAATCTAACCTAATACATTTGTATAAACTCTCAGTACTGTATATCAAATAATGATTCAGAGATGCTTTTTAGATTACATTTACATCATAGATATTAAATCCGATTCTTAGATGAATGCATTAAAATTATTATTTGAAATTGATGAATCTCAGTGTTGTCAATTATTAATAAATATTCTTTTGCAAATAAGAATAATCTATATATTTAAGCAAAGATCTACATTAATTTGATCTTCAAATCTCATAAGGATTATATAATTGATTGAATACTCAAATATTTTAACAAGGTAAGGTTATTCTAAATATTTATTGAAGTATTCATGTTATTTATGATTAGTTATGGATTGTTTCACATGAAACTAAAGAATTACTAAGAATAGTTATTTTCGAGCCAAATTAATCTGGGATTGATTTACATATGAATTTATATCAGGAGCTTTACATTCTTATAACTTTTCTTTATTGAGTAAACTACAAGAAGTTTATGAAGGTTAGGAAGTGTAAAACAATGTGGGCTCTTTAAATACAAATTAGAATCAAAATAAAAATAATAAATTGAAATTCTAGAATAAAATTCATAATTAAATAAATAAAAAGATTAATTATACAGAACTTAATAAATCATTTTCATTTTAAAAAATCAATGATTGATGAAAATAATCTAGATATCTTCATAAGCCAATCAACTATGAGGATAATGAGTATGAAAATGTAATTGTGAAAATATTTCATTTAATTAATATTTAATTGTTTGTAAAAAGAATAGCAAACTAATTTTTGATATGTAATTCAAAATTATAAAATATCATATATATAAATTAATTGAAAATGAATCTATATTTTTATATGTAAATTGCTATAATATATTAAATATACTAAGATGATTACAAAATTAGAATCCGAATAGATTTAAGTTTAAGTCAAAGTTGATAAGGCTAATTATAGAGCAGGTGATGTAATAAAGGGAGTAATCTATTTAAAGGTTAAATCTTAAGATCTTGATTGTAGCATGTTATTTCTAAAGGTACGTAACAGCTAATTAATTTTTAGTTAATTGGAGTGTAGAAGGTTAACTAATATGATAAACGAAATTAGTGTTTTAGATTTAAGGACATTTTTTATAGCAAACATAAATGGCTATGCAATTTTGGATCGTAATTCTTAATTTGATCTTAAAGTCATTTAACATAAGGGATTTATAAAAGATAATTTGAAGTATAATCTCCTCAAGAAATTCCTACTTTTTGTATAAATTATTACAAGACAGTGTAATGCAGACTTATGTACATATTGTCACTTTACTTTACTGATGAAACATAATAAAATGTTTACAAGATAGACAATTCTCATAAAATAACTATTAATATTTATCACACTCCTCCAATTCCAGAAATGTAATCAATTTGCTATGTTGGTGAACAAAGAGAATTAAAAAAACTAGGTTTTCTTAACGGTGGAGTATAATAATCAATTATATTCAATAGAGTTCTTAGATATCTCTTTAGATTAATAAATAAGGTTTCATGATAGGCGAATATATTGATATTAATCTAGAAGTAGATAATACTAATACTGATTTAAACTTATTAAATTTAGCATTTTCCATTTAATCTCAATTGATAATTCTTTATCCTGAATTAAAGTTGAAGATATCAAATCATTTTGGATTAGCTAAATCATAACATAATAGTACTTAATAAATATTTTATTATAGTTGTTGTTAAAGGAAGATCAAAAAGATAATTAGAATTTAAGTTAAAGATAGATTAAGATAAAAGTGACCCTAAATCTATATTTCCTCAATCTACATTATATTCTGATCGAATTATTTATCATTATAACTTCTGTTTAATTGCAAATTATTCACAAAACTTTTATAATTCGAATGAATTAACTATTGCAATTCCTATCAGCGTTTTTTAAGAACAAACAAGACAACTATCATCAAATCCTTTGGATTGTACAATTAATAATTAAAAGGCTATGTTTTCAGACCATAATATTGATGGATATGGACCTTAAGACGGAGTTCCTGATTCATTATAAAATTATAATGTTCAACATAGTTTTGATGATGATGAATTTTAAGAAGAAAATACATCTCCATAGAATTTTAATAGATAAAGTCTTATTCCTGATTATGAAGAATTAGAAAATGAATTTGAAACAGTTTAGGCTTCTTAATAACAATAATTTAATTAATGTAATTAATAAGATAATTATACTAATAATGAAAATGAAGGTTTTATTATAAAAAAAGTTACTGCTTTTAATGAAAATCTAGATATTATTTAAGAAGAAAATGATGATAAATTTAATCATTCTGTTAAAAGATCTTTCGATCAATCAAATAATGATCCTAAAGTAGATTAATAAATTGTAAATGATACTATTTTTAAATGATCTATTTAATTTAATTATAATAATATTCGTTATAATTTGTTATTTTTTTTTAATTTTATTCTAATATAGGAAATAATATTTATTTATGTAAATAACACCTAAAGCATTAACTGCTTTACAAAAACTATTATCTGTTAATTCACCAATTTATCCACATGAAATACGTAATCAAGAACAATCAGATTCATAAATCAATTAAAAATCTCAGTAATGCTTGAGTAATGCATAATAAGAAACTATTGATAATAGGCTAAAATAAAAAATAGCTAGTCCTAAAGATGGAATAGAATCTCTATTAAGATATAGTATAAATAAAGCATCATTAAATGGCAAACCTTAAGGTAATGTAAAAAATGAGTTAATTAATGTTTTCAAACAAAATCAAAATGTAAAAGAAAATACCATAAAAAGAAATGGAAATACATTAAATTAACTTCTTTAACCTTAAATAAATGCACCTTAAAAAGAGTAAAGCACAAAAATAGATTATAAAAAGAAAAGGCCTCCTCAACTAGGTGATATTGTTTAAGATGATGATCATATATAATAAAAAAAAATCATGACATCAAAAAGTCTATAAAGAAGTCCAAACAATATCAATAAAATTGCATCAGGTATATCAAATTTATTTATCCTTCAGGCTTTTTTACTAGCACTCATTCTAAATAAACTCATATGAATGTATTTGGTTCATTAAATGAAGTCCTTAGATAATATATACAATAAAAAAGCCATAAAAAATGTATGAGATTAATTTATATTAGAGAATGGTACTGCTCGAAATCAAGATGAAAAAAAAGTTATTGAAAAGAAATTGCATTCTACAGAAAATAAAAGAATGTCATAATCAAAATAAAATAATTTTAGCAATCTTCTCTAAGAATTATATTTAAAAACTTCTAAAATTTTGACCTCCTATTAAACTAAGGAAGCATTATGGAAATAAGAAAAAAATAGTTTAAAAGAGGAGCTTAAATTTTTAAAATAGTTATTACAATAATAACAAGAAGAATCTAATTAAAAATATAAGAAATGAATCAAATTTGTTTATAATTATAATACTCAAACTACTTATTAGTTTAAGTATATATTCAATTTTAAATATAATACTTTTATTTAAAGCATTGATTTATTAATGGGAATAAAATTTATCAATCTTATTAAATATTATCATTTATTGTATTTAATGATCTATTATTAATTTTGAATTTCAAAACAGATTTTACTATAAAATAAAAACAATTATTTTTTATATATTTGTGAATTTAAAAGAAAGGTTTATGTAAGATAACGAAATAGACATCCTCATAACAATTCCAGAATTCAAGAAAAATGAGGATTATGTCTAATATAGAGTTCAGTAAGACATTAATCATATTTTATTAGTTTTTAAAACTAAAAAACCCTATAAGGATTCTAAATTCATTTTAGATATTCAGAACTTAAAAAGTTTCATGAAACTCTTGAAACATTAAAAGCTGATTTACCAATCTTTCCTGGAAGTTATTGGTGGAAATCTGTTAATTCTAATTTACAACTTATTGAATAAAGACGCCAATTACTTGATTCCTATTTCTAAAATTTGATTTAAATCAAAAAAGTTAGAGATTCTTTAATTTATAAAAACTTTGTGTTAGCAGCCAAAAAAGAAAGTGATAAATAAGTTTAAAAAGTATTTATAAATCTTAAATTTAAAGGAGAATAAAGAGAAAGCCAAAAAATGTGATATTAACACCACAAGTAAAAAGAAATAATTGATTGGTTAATTTATTACACCAATTCCAAATCCAGTAAATTTGCCACCAACTCCTGAATAAAGAAAAGAAAGATCACATTCTATGGAGCACAAACCAACAAATAACAAATAGAGAAATGAGAATAAAAAGGCAAGCAAATAATCACCAGTATAATAATTATGTGAAAACTTTTATAGGTACTTAATTTTGGAGGATCTAAAATCTTTAGAGGGATATTATCGAATGCTGCAAAATAATGAGTAAATAATTGTAAAAAATTATATGTTAAATATTAATTATGCAAAAATATTCATAAATTGCCGCTTTATTACAGAAATGTCTTGATAGCAAAAGTACTTTAAAATCAATAATTTTGAAAAGTTCTTAAAATCAATCGTTTGTTAGATAGGCTTATGCAATCATTAGTAAAGCTATTCAACATTATGATTAATTATATTAAATTGTGGAGGAAATTAGGTCTATTTAATATATCGAAATATATGATTACAATTTGTTAATTGTTTTGATGCTTGATATATTTAATCCATAAAATAAAAAAGCTAAAAAAATGGGTGGAGTGGTAGCTAGATATCTAAAAAATCACAAAATATTAATAAAATAATTACTTGAAAAAAATAAGATATATGAATAAGAGAAAAAGTTCATTTATATCAGAGCACTTCAAAAACTTCCATTTGAATTTATATTAGATGAACATATTCCAAATTTATGCAAGGTGGATTATGACATTTATTCATAATATTTATCTAAAAATCCTGAATTTTTAAAAGGAAACACTTATATAGTTCAGAGCAAATCTAGTGCTTTACCAGCATATTTATTATTAAGGAATATTAAAAATAAAACTTCTGATATTATTGATTGTTGTGCTGCACCAGGAAATAAAACTATTTAACTTTCATAATATGCTAAAGAAAATAATATTATAGGTAAAATATTTGCAATTGAAAGAGATGAAAAACGATTTGAAATATTAAAGAATAGATTAAATAAATATTAATGTGATAATGTTGAACCATTAAATCTAGATTTTTTAACAATAAAACCATAAAATTATCCTAAAATTAAAATAGCTCTATTAGATCCATCTTGTTCTGGTAGTGGAATGCTTTAATTAAGAATGATTGAAGCTACAAAAGATGATTCCATTATTGTTCCATAAGATAAAAAAGAATAAGTCTAATAATTATCATTATTTCAATCCAAAATGCTTAATCATTTAACATTGTTCAAAAATTTAAAACTTATTATCTATTCTACATGTTCCATTTATAAAGAAGAGAATGAAGATGTTGCAAATCATTTTTTATCACTTCATAAATAATGGGAATCTGTTAATTTATTTCCAGAATGGCCTCATCGTGGTATAGATTAAAATTTACATTTCATTCGAGTTCCCCCAAATGATAGTGATGGATTTTTTGTAGCCATGTTTAAAAGAAAAAATTGATAGATAATAATTAATATTTTTAAATAATTTTATTCTTTATCAAATTTAAAAGCCTCCAACAATAATTTTATTTTTTTTGAAAATTATGTTTAGATCTATAAATTTATTAATTATTATATGATCAAAATAGTCTCTGTAAGAATCTTTAAAGAATGATTTTTATCATAACATCAATCAATTCCAAATTATTAGTTAAAAATAAAGCACTCAATTTAAAATATCATGTAGTATAAAATATCGAATTTTATTTAATGAAGGAAAATTTAGTAAATTCTAGTTTTATTTTAAAAATAAAACCACTAATAATTCTCAGAATTCTCTTATGAAATTTAAATATTTATCATAATTTAAATGTAATACATTTTGAAGAATGTACACTCATAAATAAATATACGCATTTGTGAAAAATACTGGCTTGGATAAATAAAAATGATTAGCTTATTTTAAATGTGAACATTAAAAAACTACCACATTTATATTACTACTAAAATAAAATGTTTCACCTTTTGATTTAGTTAAATTATCTATAAAAACATATCTTATATAATACTCAACCTCTAAAGACAATATTAAATTTTTAAGAACATAAAATTTTTCAATATAATTTTTGGTTTCAAAATATACTTAAGTATTTGTATATTTGATGATCACATTGTATTTTTAATTTTAAAAACAAAAACAAAGTCATTTGGCAATTCGGATTGATAAATTTCAAAATAAATAATGCAGAAAAAATAATTTTATCAAAAACAAATGAAAATTGTTAATTTTATAGAAATTTCTCATTAAAATTAAACTTTTTCCATTTAATCAAACCTGAAAAGACGAAGTTAAGCTTGATCTGCAGTCATTTTATCAATCTATTACGCTACTTTCTAAATAGAAGGCTGTTTTTTAATTTAAGTTATTTTATGACTTGTTTCTTTGATTTAATTATCAATATTTTATGAATTTTTGACTAAGTTCTACAATTTAGATTTTCTTTTTTTCATTTCTTCAATTATTTCTATTTATTTTTTGTTTACTTCACTAACAGGTTTAGATTTGATTTCCATTTTTTAATTTTTAATAGCTTATCTCTATAAATCCCATTTCTATTAGATTTAAACGAAATTATTTTATGCTTTATCTTTATTTTTTATTTTTATTGATTCAGATGCAGCATTTGCGAATTTCTTGAAATCAAAATTTCCTTTTTCATCCAAATATTCTACATCTGCATAAAGTGTTTGATCAAATTTCAATTTTTATTTCATATTGAATCGAAAAAGGGTAGGAGGTGTTGTTTTATTAGTAATTTAAAAATTAATAATAAAAAATATAAAATGGATTAAGAAATCTCAAGAGATTAGATAGAAGAGGATTTTCTTACAGCTAGTTAAGATCATTACTTTTTTGATATGAACTTTATGATATTACCAAATATTTTTGATTAGATTAGATTAGAATTGAATATAAATTTTGAAGTGAAATCATCTTAAGAATATTAAGAGAATAGATAAATTTTATTGTGTAAGATGCTTAAATATGAGATTGGTTTGGATATTTTGATAAAATTGGTATATAGGCGGGATTAATCACCATTAAATGGTTATTATTTTTTGAAAAAATTGGATGATATGGCTTATATTATATATGAGATATAGAATAAGTTATTAGATGAGGCAATAAGGAATAAAGAGTGTTAGAAATAGATTTCAGGTCACATAGTGAAATTATTTAACTCAATAATAAGTATAAAATTTATTTGAATAAAGATCGAAAAAAAAAAGAAATAAAAAAGTTACCTCTTCCTGATATTGCATAAGGAGATTTAGAGAATTTATAACAAAAATTCAGTAAGATAAATGATATAAATTGTTTTTTGAAGAATTATGAATTTTATTAATAGAATTAGAATGGAATAATAGAATGTTTAGAAGAGTCTTCTCAATATAATTTATTAAAGAAAGTGATAGTATTTAAAAGAGAAATAAGAGAGATGTCTGAAGAAGAGTTACTGATGATGATATCAGATTTAACAATTTATCAATAGGAATTAATGATTACATACATTTTATAAATATAGTAGATATAAAATGCTGAGATAGAAAGAGTATAGATAGTAAGAGGGAAATA